GCATATCAAAACTTTTCCTTGAAATGCATGATCCTGGACTGGAAAACAATTGCTGTAAAGGGTATTATTGGGTTAATTAGTAATATTTGAATATAAATGGTACACTGCATACTAGTGCTGTATCATTTAATTGATAAATGTCTTGAATTTGATGATTGTGTTATGGTTATATATTTAGGGGTGAAAGGCATAAAATCTATGGCTTAAATAGTTCAGCAAATTAATGATAATAAAAACAATAATAAGCTTGTATAGAGAGGGCTGGATGACTAAATAGATGAACAGATAAAATCTATCACTTGATAAATTAGATAAAGAGATTTCAAGTACTAGTCTTACAGTTATTCTGCAGATTTGAAATGTTTTAAGTGAAAGATTGGGGAGAAAACCCTGATCCTTAGAGATAGTAAAGCATATAATAATATATACTAACCTCATAACAGCCCTATGGGTTAGGTACTATTACTGTCCTCATTTTAGAGACAGGACACTGAGGAACAGAGACTTTCAAGGACTTTGCTCAGTGTCACACAGCCAGTGGGTGGAGGAGCAGGATTCAAATCCTGATATGTATGATTTCTGTTTCCAAAATACCCTGCACATGTATTAGATTGAACCGTATAGAAATTGCTCTTATTTGATCATGTTTGACCTGTAAAGAAAGACATTTCATATGACCCAACCTAGGAGCAGGGATCTCTTTTGTAGAATTGTTGCTTTGGTATTTGTCTTCATGGACAGATCGTGGGCTGTGGGGGAATAGGACTCTCTATCTTGCTCACCATTGTCTCCAGGGACTGCCTGGCTCATGGATGGCATTTGATTAGTGACAGCTGAATGAACAGTAATAACCAGAAACCACTTTGATTACTTCTCCCTACACCCCTCCTATATGTATGCCATTTCTGTCCCCCTCTCCCCATATCTCTGTCATTTTTAGAGGAACCAGTGGATAAACATAATTGTTCTGAAAGATGCAGCCTCAGCAGGGATAATTGCAACATAATCAACTATTTGACTTCAAGAGAACTCTTTTAACTAATGAAGATGTTAATTAAAAGCATGCTTCTGCTAAGATGACCTCTTGGTTCAGAAAATGCAAGATGTCTGCACTCCCCACCAGCATGCAGGGATTTTGGCTAGAGTGTATTTGGTACTCAGAATGCCATCCACTTGAATCCTTATTTGAGAAGTAAACACATTTTTTAAAAACATTGTGCAGTCTCTAAAAATAAGCGGTATTTCAAAATGAAAACCAGCACATAAGTAGTTGGCACATCTGGTAGTCAGAAGAGTTGTATGGTTTGTTTTCAGGGAATGACAAGCCAAGGAACATTCAAACTTGGCCAACTGAAAACTTTTCTTCTATCTGTGATGACACCTGGTTTTAAAAAAATTGGCTCCAGGCTCAAAGCAGAAAGAACATTAGAAACGGGTAGAGAATTAAATAGTATCATTTACTTGTATCTTGTTTTGTGCAAAGAATTATAAAGAACTGTTTTTTTCTTACCTCCAGAAAGAAAATGTAGCAAAAAAAAAAAAGAAAGCAACAGGCGTGAACAATAATAATAATAACAACAAAAATTGCAGCTAATACCCATTGAGTGCTTACTCTGTGCTAGGCAATATGTGACATTCTTTCCATGTGTGATTAATACTAGACACACAACAACCATATGAGGTGGTGCTATCTGTATTCCCATTTTACAGATGAGAAGACACTGAGGGAGATAAGGCACAGAAATGTTTAAGTAATTTGCCTAACTTACTCAGCCAACTAGGTTTGGGGGAGCTCAAACAGGCTGTCTCCATACCACAATGTACTGCACGATTCTGAGCAGTCTGGAGGTGTTCATTCTGTCTGGCATTATGAAAAAAAAATGGAGTTAGATGGTTGCATTGAGCACAGTGGTTCTTGGTCAAATTGTTATTTGCCTTCACTTGTGAGACTGATGATGCCATTTTCTATAACATTCTCACAGCTGTACCACAAACATTGTGTGTTCCCAATAAATTTACCATTCAGCGTTGTGCTTCAGGGACACCGTTTATGATACCTGTCAGAAGCTGTCACTTTTCTGTGGTTAGATGAGGCTCGTGTTGACTCGTGAATTTGGGAGTAGGAGGTATTGTAGTAAAAATGATAGAGACAGAGGAGGGAAGAATTAACATTTCTTTATTATAGAGCGAGAAAGTACTGTGAACATGAGAATCCAGGGTATAGTGTTATGAGGGCAGCCTTGACCGATGTAAAATTCTAGCCAAAGGAGATGAGTTTATAATTATTGCTCCCATTAGCTTCATCTTCTGTTCAGACCTAGTTAGAAGTATTGTGGAGAAACATCAAAGGATTGACTTAGTTGGAGTCTGTTTATGAAAAATAGCACTGTTTTGGAAAAGAAGACCAGGAGGGTTTCAGTGGAAATAATGTGTCACTATTTCATATCGTGTATAGCTGTCTTTTATTATCAGTTATTCACTCATTCTTAGCTTCACTGACAGACTTGATGGTGTACTGTACAGGCCCTGGGCTAGGTGCTGAGGAAGCAGCAATATTTCAATCAAGGGGTTTGTCTTTAAAAAGCAATAAAGTATAATAGGATGACAGGCATGTAAACATTTCAGTTACTTGAAGGTGTTGAGGCAGTGTGTGATGAGAAACTGTGGGGGAATGAAAAAAAGAATTGGTCAAATTTGCCCACCTGGCAGTGGGGGAGGGGGAGTCATAGAGAAGACCTTTGAATCAAGACCTTGAAGATAGAGAGAAGGGCTCATTAGGTAGACAAGTTAGGGTAAGAGTGTGCCAAGCAGAGAGAAAAGCGTGAACAAGAAAAGGATTAAAATTATTTTTCAGCAATCATTCTGGTATTCATTTATTCTAAGATATGCATTATTTTCACATCAGAATATCTCTGAAATTATCAACACCAAGCACTAGCTTAATTGACAGTGTATGCTCTTACTGGCATATAAAATAATATGCCTTATAATATATGACATCTAAGATTTGATGAAATAATGTATTAATATGCTTTTACACCAAGTAGTGTTTTTGGGTGTGCTGTTCCAGCTGCTAGCATATCCTTGTTTTAGAGGTAGATATTAAAACCTTTTTATTGTGAAGGAAACAGGCATGAAATGAATGAGTTCCTTGGATGAATATATGACATTGAATTTGACAAAATACTTGGCATCAGATGTTGCTTTTAATAGCAGTGGCTAGTAGGGATGGAACCTGGGGAGAGAATTCGAGTGTCTTATATACTGCACTAGTCTTCTCTCCAAGGTGAAAAGGGGGTTTGAAAAATAAAATCACATGTAGCTTGTTAGAATTTACAAAGATACTAAGTTTATGATCACTGCCCAAAAAAGTACCCACTACTCTTAGTGCTAAGATGAAGCCTTGATGGTAAGTGTTATATGAGTTGTAAAAACAGAGAGACTATCTATAATTGATCTTTCAAGGCACAAGAAGATGCATCAGTTATAAACTGCAGTGGGAGAGGTAGAGGGAACATTCTGGTTTGCGTATCTGGAAGAAAAATCAGGAGAAATTTCTATTGGACCTAATGATCTTAGAAAGTATCCAAGGAAGAAACTAAGCAACCATCACCTAAACTTAAGCACACAGGTGCCATGAAAAATACACTCTCGTAGAATCCGTTTCAGCTCAGTCAATAAATCCTCGTGTGACCTTGAGGAAATCAGTTACCACTGGGATTTTACTTTCCCAGAGGGCCAGACTAGAGAAGGCTTCCTGTGACTCTCCTAGAGCTTTTGAGATGTGGTTTCACTGATGAGAGCATTGGTGGTTACTCCAAGGTCTTGTTTATCCTTAGTTTTGTGGACTCTTGGAAGCGAATGTTACAGAAGATGAAAAAGTAATTTTTTGGCTATTAATTTAATTTTTGGAAACACAGAACAAAAAAGTATACCCCCTAGGGCTAAGGAAAGTTACTGTGATGTTTTCTACTACTTTGATCCCAAATATATCAATGAGAAAGATGAGGAATTTGGTGAGAAAATTTTAGAGCCTAATTTGAAAAAAAAAATCCCAAAGCCCTGAGATCATATTTATTTTCATTTGTTTGAAATGGAAACAGAGTGTACAGTCACTGAGACTTGACCAGGTAGTTTGCAAAAAATGTTTGAAAAAGTATATCTGTGTAAAAAGAATGTCTAGAATAATTTAACCACTATTATTTTTTTTTTATAAATGATTCATGGCATGTTTACCTTTCTCCTCTTTGCTTTTCATTTTTCCGTAACGGCACAGATTCTTGTGGGTTTCTTTTTTTTTAATTTCCCCTTTGGGTATGTACCAGATTTTACTACATTCCAAGATTGTTGCTAATGAAATGAAAAATCTATGTCAGATTTGGCTACCATGCTACTTTTAGAGTGAGTGTTTTGTTTATGGCTCTCTCACCCTGATTTTTTTTTTAAATTGGGTGTCTGTCCAATGACAATGTATTAGGATGAAGAGGAAAAATCAAGTTTGGAGAGACACAGCCAAACTCTATCCTTTTAAAGAGTCTTTTTGGAAGGCCAGAACTGAAATGAAGTGAACCAGTTAAACAAGTTTTTTCAGCAGTGTCAACTTTCTTTGCTGGGTGATTCAAGATATTAGCTATTCTAGAAAAAAAACATGGTTTGATATAAGTAATCCCATCTTCTCACCACCTTAACCCTTTAAGTAAGGAGATGATAAAATATGATTCTTAATACAACTGAACACTTCTATATAAAAGGAGCAAAATGTAAGTGTATTTTATATGAGTGGTGATTATAGATGATTATAGAAGGGTATCTATTGTAGCATTATGGGTTTTTTCATTGGAATTAGAGAAAGCTTTTTGGTATCACTAATTCTTAAAACAAAAAAGATAATCTAAGGACTGTCTCTAAAAGATGAGTCCTGATATAAGTGTGCACATGTGTGTATTTACTGATTTCTGATGTAAGGGACATGAAAGCTAACCTGATTCATTTGTTTTTAGGGGCTCTTGGCTTTGGGCCTCAGTGCAAGTCCATTGGAAAAGGCAGCTGCAACAATCTAGTGGTCACCAGCAGTCCCATGATGGTTCAGCGACTGGGACCCATTTCACCTCCAGCAAGCCAGGTCTCTACAGCATGCAACCAGATCAGTCCTAGCTTACAGAGGGCAATGAATGCAGCCAACCTGAATATACCTCCTTCAGATACCAGGTCTCAAGTTACTTTTTTTTCCCCCCCTTCTTGTGGTATAATCACACCTGTGAGTGTTTTCTCTTTCCCTTCTGAACACATGCCCATACAACACATGTACACACACTCTCCCCACACATGCTTACTCAAGCAGCTCTTTCATTTTGAGCTGTGTAGGGGAACGTGTATAAAAACTGTGTGCCATGATATCATCTTAATTGGGAAGAATGGTATAATACCTGCTGTCTTATGTTGTGAGTGAAATTAATGCCCGCTTTGAGATTTTTAGGACTCAGTGACTAAAGACCATGTGTTAATCTGTTGATTCCTGGTGAAGCAGCTCATATCATGGTGTAGAAAGATGAGATATCCCATACACATCTACCTTAGCTGTTTGTTTTTTAGTATACATGTTGCAGTGTGCTAAGGCTGCTTTACAGTCTGTTTTGTCTGTCCATCCATGCATCCATTAACCCATCTACCCAAGTATCTTAAGTATTTACTGCCAGCATAATAGTTGAAGTTTAGGGAGATAGTCAAAAAAGTAAAGACAGAAGTCATGAATTTCAAGACTTTATGATGTGTCTGGGAAGAGATATTTCATGTTTGTGTTACATATCATTTCAACACAATGTCTGATTAGGTGTTGGAATAGGTAGGTCCCTTAAATGCCATGTCTCTCTCTCCATGGAAGATAATTGAATAGGGAAATCATCTCCTCAGACAAATTTTTATATCTCTCAAGGTTGATATTACAGGGGACATAAAACGAAAATACTCTGCAATGTATTTAAATGAATTATTTCATCTTTTATGAGTAGTCTTCGTGGAGAAATACAATCCAAAGTTTTTGCCTTAGTCCCAGCTCTGTGATTTTGCAAAGGAATTGGACTCTGGATCTCTGCCTCCTCTTCTTGAGGGGCTGGAATCCACTGAGATGTCTTATAGTTCTGGGATCCTGTTTCTTTCTCTCCTTCCTCCCTTTCCTTCTTTTCCTCCCATCCCCCTTCCCCTCTTGTGTCTCTGCACTCTTAGCTGCTGTTTGACACTCTGAAATCAGTTTCCTGGATCATTTTTTTATGCCAAGTTTCTCATGAGATGGAAACTTGTTTTTCACCTGAGATTTTTTTTATGATAGGAAGCTGCTGCTGTCATTTTCCCATTGATGATTATGCCTTGAGGGGCTCCTCAGACTTGCTGAGTATTGCATGTAAAATTAACTGTACTTGCGGAGTAGGTGTCATTGGGAAGCCTTCAGCTTCCTGTCTGTGGCAAGTCCAGCCCATGCCTTGAAGGCAGAGAGTCCTAATTAATGAAGAGACTGCAGGTAGGCAGGGCATAGGCTGCTCCAACCATGTACCTAATGCAGTTCCTTTCATGGGTCCACCAGAGAAGGGTCATTTTCACAAGAGTTTTCTAGCAGATTTGATTCCTTAGCATAATTTTTTATCCTTAAAAGACAACATCATAGCAATTGACATAAGTTTTGTCTGTGTTTTGTGAGTCCTTCTATGGAGATACTTTTTTGCAGGATGAGCAAAGAAACAAGAGTTGGGAAGTGGCTTGGTGAAGTGTTGAATTTACTTTTAGCAATTTAGAAAGATTGCATTATTTGTGATGCTTAAATTGGTTTGTGTGTTCCATCAGAGGAGAGAGAGGCTAGGAGGCAACAGTTCAACTTGAAGGCATTTTGCTATCTAGAGATAAAGAGAAGATGGAGAGAGAATCAGCTTTGAGTTTAATTTATTGGGGGTTATGGCCAGGGAGATGGGGAGGATAGGGTGGGAGGCTGGGTAGGGGTGTGAACTGTTCAGTCTGAGTGATGGCAGCCCTATAAAAAGCTGTAACACTTATTGTTTTTTTTCCTCTGGTTATCTATGTAATTCTTACTCATTGTAGAAAACATGGAAAAAATCAAGACAGTAAATGGTAGTCATCCTGAATCCTGCCACTGACAGGCAACTATAGGTAGAATTTTGAAATACACCCTTCTAGCTCTCTGCAGACATACACATTGTAAGCATAGGTTTCCATCAAATTGATCTATAGTAATCTACACAGTATTATAATTGCTTTTTTTAGTTAATATAAACCCTTTCTTTTGTAATAATCTTTCGTCGTAAAAAAATCTTTAGCATCATATAATGACTTCTTCCTGCCCAAGATTCCCTTTTATTCAAAAATGTATAAATAAAACTGTAATTTTTATCAGCCTCTTATTACTGGGCATTTATTTATTTCCTTTAACTTCAGTATTGTAAGTAATCTTTATTGGATCAGTTCTGTAACTCTTGTTGTACATCTCCTTTTCATGACGTGTATGTATGTATGTATATATATGTATGTGTATATATAGATTCATTCTCTGGAGCATCATTTTGAGGAATTCCACATCATATGTAAGTATTTCTTTTGAGCTTGGCATTGAACCAAGCATTTCAGCCTGGTCATCATACCTCTTGTGGCCCCATGAGAGTTCTGAGCCCTTGCTTCACCAGCCATACTAAGCTATTTCTCTGATGGTCTCTGAGTTTTTCACATTGCTTTTATTTTGTTTGAGTTGTATTTCTTTCATATATAGCTCTCAATTAACCAGTTACCAGAAATAATATGCTTAGGGTCAGGTGAACATATGGACATTGAGATTTCTCTCAGTATGGTGATAGAACCACAATATCTTTGTCACTTTTTTTTCCCCATAGGCCTGGTGTGGGTAACAGCAGGGATTATATGCAAGAGTTCTTTGGAATCTTTCACAATCATTCAACATGTTGTTGCTGAAAGAGAACAGAAAATGTGGGTCCCAGTTGTAGCTTGTGTGACTTTAAGCCTCTTTTACTTGGTCTTTTAATCAAGCAGAGCATTGTGGACCACATGTAGGGTATGATGTGGGGAAAACAACAGAGGATGTATGTGATCTAGCTAGGTGACTGCCTGTCAAATGCTGCTTTATTTGTCCTTCTATAAGAATTTTGGTCTTTTCTGGGATGTCATTGGGATGAATTTTACAGAACCCCTGTTTTATTCTTTGTAAAATACAGGTTATTTGAAAATCCAATTTATTTACTTCACAGGCTGTATTAAATGAGATAGTATATAGGGAAATAGTTTGTATTATAAACGATGGTTATCATTATCTTGATTGATTGCTTACTCACCTTAAACAACATTTTTTTTGAAAACTTACTTATCTAACACTCTGGCAGGTACTGGAGGAGATAAGTAATTCCTTCTATTGAAAGACTTTGAATTTTATTGAGGAAGATAACATCCACAGATGTCTGAAGCTAGCTACGTTTAAGGCTCAGTATGGACAGTATATAATTTCTCTGGAAATAGGACTTTTACTGAGAGCTACTATCTTTGGGGCAGGTTTCACGGTTCAGAACTTTGTAATATTAAAAGATCTGGGTAATTGCACAGAAGGGAGGTGAGCCACTAGGCAATGGCCATTGTTGGAACTTTTGTTCTTATTAGGTGTTCAAGTTAGAAGAAAGACTTTTCCATTCATGTTACTGCCTTAGTGAATAGAATATAGAATTTTCTTTCTGAAAAATATATGATAACTGTCTTAGAAAACAGATGTTCAAGGAGTTAAGGAATGTGCCTGTATGGGGTTATGCTCAGATTTAAATGGAGCCATATTTAGGTGTAATTTGAGAAAAATAAGAAACATCTCTTGACAATGGAACAAATGAAAATGTCTCACTACAGGCTGCCCTCAAACCAAATAATATAATTTCAAATTCAAAGTATATACAGGTGGGTAAAATACTTTCTGCCTGCTATTCACTGCCTAAAAATCTGAAGTGCTCCAGTATGACAGTGACCAGGCGAATGCAGCATTTGAGTTGTTCTATAAACCATCTCAATTTCAGGGTGTAAAGCAAAGTCAGTTGTTTTTGCCTCATATATGACATGACTACTAATTTGGCTTGGGTCAGAAAGCAATTTCTGAATCTCCCTGGGGAAGGGACCAAAAGGCCCTTGACATCCAATCACCAGGAGCCTTCAGCTGAGCTCTTCAGGAAGAGCTACATGCTGTGGGTGTGCTGGGAAAATAATTGAAAGTGTCCACCGGGAATTAAAAAACAGATGGTTCAGAAACCACTTTGGGGCTTGCAAAAGGACTTCAGCCCAAATATAAGGATGTGGACAGAGAAAAAAATCTGTGTCAAGGGCAACTGGACATAATTTCCTGCTGTGTTTGTCATTGGTAAACATTACTTCACTTGATGGAAACACCACATCGACAATGGTGTTATCTATCACCTTACACTGTGCGTTTCAGAGCCGAGATGTTTTCTTGCTAATATCTCATGCTTGTAGGAAACAGTGTTCTTGGCTTCCATTTTGTGAAAAAAAGTAAGAGGAACAGATGGGATGAAAATGCTTCTATTTTTTTCTTCAGTTCCTTTTCAACAGGTTGCTGTGTAACAGCTGAAAGTAGTAAATGGGTTCATTCTGGGAAGATAGGCATTCTATATAATATCTTATCTTGATTAATTTTTTGTTAGAAAAGAGATCTCTCTAGAAAGCCAGTGCAAGTACATATAAAAAAGCCAGATTTTTCTGATATACACTATGTCTGAGTTGGAAAGCATAGTGAATTATGTCTAGCCTCTTTGTGACAAATTTTCCATCCAAGGGGCATAGCTTTTTTCTTCAATGAATTTTGAGGTAATTGTGTCATAGTAAAGCAAAATCAATTTTAAAGTGGCCAGACTGTATTACAAAGCATTTTGATATGCAGGTAAATATCGTGACATGTGAAGCATGTTTGGTAAAGGGTAAGAACAGGAGAGGAATTCTTGCAAGAGTGAGGTACTAAAAACAAATGGAATCTGCTCTTGGTCCAAATCTGCTCTAAATCTGAGGACAAGAGCTCATGGAAAATCCAAAATTAACAGGTGTGATTAAACACTGCATGGCCCAAGTATTTGCATAATTCCAAATATGACTCAATTTCTGGCTATCACTCCCTTATATATTATAGCTGTATTATATATATATATATATATA